TAGTCTTTAGAAATTGCCATATGCTACAAATTCTAAATAATTATAGCAGGACTCTAATTAGTGAAAAGTATCTAGGAACTATTTTTTAATCCTTAGAATTTCTGTGAAATTATAGAGTAATTGATAAAGAAAGCAGTATTATGTCCAAGGCTGCATTTAAAACTGGACCAGAAGTTTCAGGTCCAGGATCTCTACTATTCAAGAGTTTCATAAAGTCGGCACTTGCTATAAAATTCTTGAAAATCACACAAAAACAGAAAAAGGTTCCACTAAAGAAACAACCAACCGTGTTAGGCACCTTTATTTCCCAATGTGAAGTTAGAAGAACTGGAGTTTGAGGGAATTAAACAACAAAAACCCCAATGAGACGAGCCTATCCCACCTGTAATAGAAGGCCATGCCATGGACCCCATCAATCAAGGAATGTAGGCTCGTGGGCCCAAAATAAGAGCTCTTTCTGCTGTAGCTCCTGCTCTTTGGAACATCAAACCCCCCGAGGTGATATCTGCAACTATCCTTCTGACCTTCTGAAAGGGCCTGAAGACCTGGTTCTGGCAATTGGCCTGGAGTCTTAAAGGGGATACATCATTTCCAAGGTGACTATCAGACTAAGAGAAGACCTTACCTCACCTCTCCCATTTCATTATTTCATTAAAATATTGTTATTGCTATTATTAGTGTTATTTATTGTTTTAATGTTTACTGGCTTTTAATCTTTGCAAGGTGCCAAAGTCGCCTGTAGGCTCTATGGATGGCACAGGACAAACAAACAAACATACAAACAAGCAATCACTCCATTTCTGTTCCTTACGCACACACATACACCCTTCAATAAGAAAGTTGAAGACAACCAAAATGGGATTTGGGGAGGGAAAAAAAAGAAAGCCATATGATGTGGACTAAGGAAGCAGCAATAAGATCTATTTAAATTTATTTGATTTTTAGCTATGAAAGAGGGAAAACAAAGAAGGTGTTGGAAAAAGAAGAGGAGAGGCAATGATGGTATGAAGATTTCCCAGAATTTTGTTAAGGATCCATTCATTTCTAGAACTGCGACTCTCCCTTAGACACTCTGCTCGAGGCCTACCAAATGTTTCAAATGTAAGAAGCTGCTGTGTGTATCTTTATATCTATCTATAGATGCCATGAGAATCAGAAATCTGGTTAAAGCAGCACATGTGGCATTGCATATTTTGCCAAAATCATTCTTTATCTGAGATTTTTCCAGAATTATTTGCCTTTGTCTTGGCTACCAACAAAACAATAATAATAATCCAACAATAATAACCTTCAGCATAAAGTATATCATTCTGTCACATCATTTTGCATTAAGAGATGACAAAGATGTTCATGTCCTTATCTAGCTATGGAATACTTTCATATGGTTCTTGAGTGGTACATAAAATGATGCATGATATAGAGGATAAGTATAATCTTCCCCATTTCTGAAAGAAATGACACAAATCCCTTGCATTTGGTTACTTTATATGTCACCCAGGTGAAATACACATTCATATAATACTAAAGGTAGAAATTACTTTGGGGATTTTTTAGCAGTGGAGTGAACAAAATTTTGAGATATATTGTTATACTAACAAATTAGTGGTAGGTAATATATTAGTAAAAAAAGAAAACCTGAAGAATTAATTTAAGGTGTTAGGTCTTGAGATGGGTTGAAACTAATTCAATAATTAAAAAGATTGTTTTGAAGAATGATGGTTAATGAAAATAATATAAAAAACAACCCACAACTAACAACTGATTTTTCCAAGTTCTTCAAAAATATTTTCTTAAGTGAGGCAAACTGAGAGCATAAAACAGATTAGAGTAAGCCATTATTGAATAAATAATTTCTGTTCCTCCAGTCAGTGATTGGTGAATTCCTGATACAACCTTATCTATGATGATATCAAATAACTTTCAGTCATTCAATCCATCCATTCAACATCTTTGAAAAACAGAAAGCAATGTGATGAAGAAATAGAAGTGAAAATGAAAGCTATATAAATGTGATGAATGATTGAATAAAATAATGATGAAAAACTGAAAAATATGTGGTGATTGGGATTACCTCAAGAAGCAAAATGAATGTACTTTTTTCTTTTGTGTTTTAAAACTTAGTATTAGACTGAAGCTTAGCATTAAGTCTTCTAAATTAACTCTTCTAAAAACATTAGCTTAGCATTTGACATGGCTAAAGCACTTTAAACAAGGTTTGCATCCAGCTTTCAGCATACCAAAAGGTTTGCAGGTAAGTCAATTTATTTCAGCTACATTCTTACAGCCGGGGCTAGGCTAAAATGAAGTGTGAGTATCATTGAAACATATGAAGTCAAAACTTTTGGTTTATTTTTCATTATCTTTATCATATTTTGAATTGGAACACTGATTAAAGATCAATTAATGAATTAATGAAGTCTAAGTGAATAAATTAGTTGAATTCAATTATGTGAATAAATGTAATTAAATGTGCAGATACAAAACCTCAATTTGACCCTCAGATGATTAGTTAATTAATAAATCAATGTAATTAAACTTGTATAACAGAAAAAACTCAATAAATTCTTGGAATTTTTTTTAAAAAAGTGTGAGATATAAGTGCATATCGCACAAAGCCTGTTGGAGTAGGTAAGTATACTCAATTTTATGGAATAAATTAACTATTTAAATGGAAGGGCCTATTTTATAAGTTATTTTAGAGTCTTTATTACAATAACAATAACAAAGCAGAATGAGGTAAAACAAAGGGTTTGTCAAAACTCAGCCATTTATAATTACAATTTGTTCTTTTGTATTAACCAACAAATGCTTTTGCCAGTTAATCAATTACATTTACATTAATTAAAGTTTTAAAGTGAACTAAAGTTTAATATTATTATTAAGATGATCTTAAAAATGGAGCACGTTAAAAAAATCAAAATAAATAATTGATTGCATATTTTTACTCAAAGGTAAGCTCTTTTATGTTCAGAAGATTTATTTCTAATTTAGGATCTTCAGTTTTTTTTCCATTTATCATAGTTCTAGGTAAATAATAAAAATCAGCTTTTAAAAGCTGACTGGGTGACTTCTCAGCCCACTCACCTCAGAGTGTTGTTATTGTGGGGAAAATAAGAGACAGGAATATCAAATATGTTTGCTGCTTTGAGTTGAATATATACTGTATACTGATACGTATATGCACACACATATATACAGTATACAAGTAGTCTTTAACCATTCATTGAATGACTGTTCAAAGTTACAACAGCACTGAAAAAAGTGACTTATAACCATTTTTCACACTTATGACCATTGTAGCATCCCCATGGTAATGTGAACAAAATTCAGATCTTGGCAACTGACCCATATTTATGATGGTTGCAGTGTCCTGAAGTTATATGATCATGTGATCAACTTTTGCAACCTTCTGACAAGCAAAGTCAGGGCCTGACAAGGGAAGTCTGATTCCCTTAACAACTAATTACTAATTTAACAGCAAACAAAGGTTAGCCAGCTAGTTTTCATGGCTAAGGTGGGAGTAGAACTCACAGTCTCTTGGTTTCCAGCCTGGTGCCTTAACCATAGGCTGGTTTGTCTGAATGGGTATAGAATCAATTAGCAGGTGTGTGTAGATGATTATTATTGTATTGTGGTGAGTGATAGCGTTAGTAAACTGCTACAGCATAGGAAGTGTTCATTATTATTATACTTTTTCTTTTTTCCCTTTTGCTTCAAGTAGAATACAGAAGTTGGGTGTGGGAATCATGGAAGATGAATATGGCATGGGGATATGGATCTCCATGGTGACACAGGCCAGGGGGAGTATGACAGGAGTGGTGGGCTTCACATTGTAGGAAAAGGAAAATCTGTAGATTGATATAATTCTCCACTTCAGACCTCACTCCTGGATGAAAATACAGAATAACAGAGTTGGAAGGGACCTTGGAGGTCTTCTAGTCCAACCCCTTGCTCAGGGGGATCCTATTCCATTTCAGACAAATGGCTGTCCAATCTCGTTTTAATGAGATCCTCAACAAGGATATTAACCTTGTTGAGTGCCATAGCCTCAGACTGCTGTTGGTTAATGCTGATTCACATGTAATAGGGCTGCATTTTTTATGATATCAGTGGTTGAGCATTCATTATGTCTATTTGCACACTGCTCAAAGTAGCTCTGGGAGAGAGATGGATGGTTTCTAAATGTAATAAGTAAGTAAATACATAAATACATTTCAATAAATAAAATTTAAATGGCTTGCATTTCAAAGATATGACTTGACAAAGACATAGATGTGCCATGCCTGAAATTTGTACTTCAGGTTTGTAGATTCTTCAACAACAGCTCTGATGTTACAGTCAGAAGCAGATATGTCAAAGACTATCTGAGATCTTAGCTGTAATCAAAATGTGGTAAATGATAATTAATGAATACAATGCCGGAAGGAAAACTATCTATGTTGTATGCCTGTGAAAGTAAGAAAAAGGAGAAGGATGTAACATCTGAATGAAGGTGGAATTCACGAATACAAACAGGGAAATCAACATCAATACAAAAAGGGAAATCAACATTTAATTATGAATAAAAGAGCTGAAATATATGTCAGGATGTAATATTGATATGGTGTAAGTTGATGTGGGTGCCTATGAAAGTAGGATTCCAGGGATTGTTAACAGGTGCCTGCTATCCCCTTCTATATATTGTCTTGAATATTTCAAAAATATAAAAGACAGGAAGCAAACTCTGAAAGGGATTGATTTGGATATAACAGAAAATATTACAGCAACAATGGGGAAATTAAGAAAGTTTGAAATGATAAAAGAAACTGTTTGACCAAAATGCTATTATTTTCAACAAAGGTTTAACTTAACCAGGCCAATCATTTCAACCACTTCAATCAGGCAGGTTAATTACAGATGTTATACTAAGGTTGGAAAACATGATGGAAGAAAACTATTTCCCAGCATCTGAAGAAGCAATCTCATCACCAAAGAATGCATATTTAACAGAAATTACTAACCTTGGAGATATATCACATCCTTGTTGCATAAAAGCTCCCAAGGAGAACCACAGGCTGTTAAATATCCCAAATTCATTGGTCTGGTCATTAGCTGGTTGGTCACGGCCTTCCTCAACCTCCTCATTATGCCACTCATATGGGCTGAAGCGGCTAACCAGAAAGAGGACAACGCTGACACCAATATAGGCAAAAACTATGCACATCCAGATCTCATAGGCTAAAGGATCCAGGAAGGAAAATACCCCGGGTTTGGATTTTTGAGGCTTTTTAATCATGATAGATATGCCCAGGCTCATAAAAGGTTTGGAAAAGTCTATAACTTCTTCTCGCACTAGAGTTATAGTTAAGGGTGCAACAGCCACATCAGCTCTCTAAAAAGAAAGGAAGTCAGTGTTAGAACATTCTGAATATCTGCAAAATACTATAATAAGAATACATGATGTTTTTGACAAGCAAGGCTTGGATTAGGGAAGAAGCACAGCATTATACATATTTAAGATACTATAATATTACTGGGGGGGGGATTGGTTTTTGGTTTTTATGTATACAAACCATTTGAAAATCTTGAAAATACAATTTACAAGTTTTTGATGTCTCAATTTGATTTATCTCATATTCTTTCCTGCATTCACTGCCTTAAAGACATGCTTGGATTTATATTACTTTATAAATGCTAAACAAGAATCATCCAGGTATGGTTTCACTATTTCCTTTTGGGTAAATAATTGTTATTTATTGTGTCCTATTAAAGCTGTTGATATGATCCTTTAATTGATGTCCCAGTACAGGATCTATGATATTTCAATTCCTTAATATCTATTCCTGCCCTCTTAAAAAATATCAGGAGATTAGAAAGATCGTGGTAGAGTGACACCTTCCCATTTATTTTAAGATGGAGATATAGTTAACTGTAAATTGTTGAACTCAAATGACTTGCTGTCAACTATATGGCATCATTCACAATGTTTAAAGCAGTTTTTCATATTTTTCTTGCTCTTATTTAAAGAATAATCTCAAATAACAGTAGCAATTGAAAGCAAATGGCCACCTGTGTTGAATTATAGTAACAATACCTTTAAAGATGCTCTGACATCACCATCTTTTATAATACAATAATATTATATAATCATTGACTCAGAACTAGAAACTTACTCCATAGACTAGCTCTCCAACCATGCCATTCCACATTTTACTTTCAGAATCTCGAGCGCCGTATTTTCCATCAGAAACAACCTGCAAGCTGTAGTTATAGCCAACATGTTTTGCAATTTCAGCAGCTAATTCTACGCAATATCCCTCATATCTCAAATTTCCTTCTAATGGTTCACTGCTCTTCTTTTGCATCACATATGGAGCTTCCTGAGAGAAACAGAGGAAGTTACATGATCAATGTTTCAATGTTTTGGCAATGAAAACTGTTCTGCATAATATTAAAATCTTTGTGTATGATGCGAAGCGCATCAACACACAAGTTAAATGTTGCCACTGCTGAAGTGCTCTAGGAATACTGCCAGGATACATTCAACATTAATAAGCTCCCTTTTAATTTTAAATATTACTCCATTTGTACACTTTGGGATAATGGAGATAAAGTCAAGAACTTGTTCAAGTACTTGAAACCTGATATTATATTCCAATCTTGAGCTTGATATTTTCTTGACGTTGAGACTCTCAAATTCCCAATCTCTTTCTGTAGAACTTACTGTAGTTTCCAGTCCTACAATGAGTTTTAACGTGTTGGAATCCTTAAATGGTGGCCTGTCCCAAGGGTGCTGTTTTTCAAGAGGCCTCTTGGAAAAAAAGCACCTTTGGGACAAGCATGACCTGGATGACTGAGAATCTCCATAGACATAAATAGTGGCATGCACATCTCAGTACTTGTCATTCAAGCTGATGAGCAAAAGGTAGCCTAATCATAAACCATGATGCTCAATTTTTATGTAACAGACGAAAAAGAGATATATCATTTGTATCAGCCTGCAGGCAGGCAAATGAATACATCCTTTTAGGTCACATGAGAGATTGACATTATACTTTCCCCAGTTAAAATGTTTATGCACCCTTTTTGTTTTCCTCTTAAAATTGGAGAGAAGATTTTGACATTACATGGGAGATAGTACAGAGAATTGCTTCATGAGGATCTGTGATCCTATACAAATATATGAGTATGACAAGCCAGAATTATGCTGAAGGCTTCTATCTTAGATTTGCTGATCAAGCTGTCATTTTTCTATAGAGGGATAGAAAAGATAGGAAGCTTTGGAATACATACCAAAGACAGTGTAGATAAGACAATAAGACAGAATAGAATATTATTTCTAGTAATGGAGAAAGAGCATGCATACTCCTTTAGAATGGATAAATTTATTTAAAATAAAACTTTAAAATGGCTGGTCCATTTATTTAACCTATATACAAAATGGAAATAAATAAGTAGATAAATAATAAATAGTTTTGAGGAAAGTATCTGAAATTTAGACTGTGCCTAAGCACATTGATGGTCCTGTTTAAAATTATTATGACAAAAGTGGTATGTTCTCAGAAGGATTTATGAATAGCTTTGGGGGGGGGGGGGGGACAGCTGCTGTCTGGAGCTCCACCATTTCCACTATTACCAATACCATCATCAATGAATTCCACAAAGAAGATTCCATGGGTGCACTATCATGCAAAAGCAATTGGTTTACAAAGCTCAGTCATATTATTACTTCAATAATTGTCACTTAAACCAATAGTCCAATTCTCTCAACAAGCATAAGAAACAACAAAGCAAAATAAAATTAAATATTAATTAATCAAAGAGTTTAGCAGGCTATGGAAAATTATTTGAAGACTAAACAATTTATAAGTATATTTATTTGTTAACGGATAAGAGTTAAATCCCCAGTCATCTTACAGCAACAGCTGTAAGCAATAGAAAACATAGCAATGGAAAGCAACAAAGCAAAAACTGGCAAGTCATCTAAAATAGTGTTTCTTGATTTCAGCAACTTTATGTGTGGACTCCAATTTCCAGAATTCCCCAGCTAGTGGATGGGAAACCTTAAAAGTTTTCCGAGAAAGCACTGGTCTATGACTTTTAATTGATAGGTCCATTAATAAAACATATTTTAATTTAATAGTATCTTTGAGAATGGAAGGTAATCATCTTCATTTAATGAAGGGTTCATTACCATTACACCATGACCTGCTAACAATCATATGTTATGTGTTGATTATCAATCCAATTTATTAATTAATCTAAAATTCAAGAAATAATATATTCAAAACAATGAAGCAGGCATTATTAAAACTAGACACATTTCAAATAAAAAAAATTGAAAAATTTGGTGGATTTAAATAAAAATAAATACAACATTGCAATTTTGTAGTACATGTGTATATGTCTGTGTGTGTCTATGTGTGTCTCTCTCTGTGTGTGCATATGTGTGCCTTCAAGTCACTGTTGACTCCTGGGGTCCCTGCAGTTTTCTTGGCAAGGTTTTTTGGAAATGGTTTTCCATTGCCTTTTTCCTATTGTTGAAAGTGACTTTGTGCCTAAGGCAGGATTAGAACTCATAGTCTCCTGGTTTGTAGCTGGTGCCTTAATCACTACATTAAATTATTGTGCATCCATGTGAATTGCTTATAGTAAATTATAAAACGAGTTCAGAGTCTTCATGTGACCCTCAATAAAATGATGATAAATGGCATTTTTAAAACGTTTAAATCCTCTAAAATTACTAGACAGATCTCCACTTTTCCTTTGGATCTTAGTTTAGAACTCCTAGCTTGTACTATTAGACAAAATTATGCTCTCTGTGATTTTTGTATAATTAATTAGAATACCAATTGGTATTCTCTGCTGATGATATCTTATTGTTTATCTCTTAGTTTTGTACAGCTTTGCTGAATTTGATTAATGCGTTTACTGAAATTGTAGGATATTCTATTAACCAATGCAAATTGGAAATGATTTCTGTAGATAAAATTTAGTTTATTCATGCATTAAGTGATTATCATTTTTATATAGATACTGAGTTTATCAATTATTTAGATATTCTTACTCCAAACATTTCTCAAACTGTAACACTAAATACAAGTAAGATATATAAAGAATATATATTTGGCAGTTGGAAGTTATTAAAATTAAATTTTTAGGCTAGGATCAACACTAAAAGTGAACAGAATTCTCAAGATTTTATTTTTTTGCATAGATCCTTATCTGGAAAACATTTTCAAAAACTCAATATGCTGTTCTATAAATTTCTATGAGGTGCTTCAATTCTGAAGATGCCTTTGAAAAAGATGCAACTATCAATTAAAGATGGGACTTTGGAATTTTCCAAATTTTGAATTATACATTATGCATGCCTTTTCATTAATATTAGTACTTGTGGTCATTTTTACTTAGTGAATAGGTACCATCTGTATCTTTTTGTAATAAGTACACCTTTAGTTAACTGAACTGTTTTGGATTCAAAATATAATAGATTTGTTGTATTTTATATTAATATATATTTATTCACAAACTGTTTAATTTTAATGCCTACATTCTTTTGAACTATGTAATGACTACATGGATATGGAAAGATATTGATAGGGCAACAGAAATGAAGTCTCTATACCTTGATTACTGCCAGCTCAAGTTATCTTTAATTTGTTTCTTACAATTATAAATGAAAAAGTAAGTTTACTTTTAATCACTTTTAATCACTCACTTATGATAATTTGCATGCCTTTTTATTAAACAAATTCCTTTTTTTAGAGTAGATGGCCAGGTTTTCTTTAATATCCCTTGATATTAAGCACTTGGAGATTACACCTTAAACTTGTAAAAATAATAACTACATCATCAGCATACAAAAGATGGAGGACAAATTTATTTCCTAGTATTGAAGGAAAATTATTTTAGGTACTCTCTAGATTATACAATTAAAGGAGAAACAGAAAATGAGTTCTAAACTACATGCTTTCTTAACCTGCTTCCATATGGAAAACCTCCGAAAAGAGGCATTTCTTATTTTACCCTAAAACGTCAGTACTGGACATATTTGTAGATATAAAATGTCATTCAGGGAAGTCACAGATTTTTTTTCAGAAAATAATAACCTAATTTATATGTTAACACCCAAATCTAACTGAAACAGAAGTCTCATGTCCAGCTTTAATCACATCACATTTATTTTCAGCCTCAGGAATCACAACAGCTGCTGTCAGAAATATCCATAGCCATCTTATCCAAATGTCATATTACTTAAATATGTGAATATTTGCAAAGAGTTGAATTTCTAGCCAATCAGATGTATAAAACATCTGTTTATGGAATGTTTACGAGGAATCCCAAATAATTACAGAATAGCATGATAGATTTTCCAAGCTTTTAAGGCTGACTACATTTCCTTTTACTTCTGTCAGATGTTTATCCAGCTTCTTGAAAATGTTAAATTGGGGGATTTATTATTACAAATTAAATTTGTTCTCTAAGTTTAGGGACTTTTTAAATATATTTTTTAAAATTTCTCCACATCAAAGTTGCAGCATCTTCTCAGGGTCAGTTTTCTTTATTAAAAATACATGAGTAAGGCAGTAAAAATAAAATAAAAAATAAAGGTATCAAACATATTAATGAAACACATTGCAACGGTAAGAAAAGATGCAGTGTTTACATTGTCTATTTTTTTCAACAGCTTATTATTGGAATTCATTTATTTATTAGCTCTATATCCTAATTTTTGTCTCAGGAGTTTGATGGGGAAACTTTGTCATTATTCCCACAAGTATCAAGGGAAGTGTCAAGAGAGAGAAGTTGGATTCAAAGCCATCAAGTAATTTTTCTTGAAAAGGTGGACTTGAATCTAGATTTCCTCAGTTCTAGTACAGTATCTTAAACAGTAAATCACTTTGACTTCCATGCTGGCTGGGGAATTCTGGGAATTGAAGTCCACACATCTTCAAGCTGCCAAGGTTGAGAGACATTGTACTAAATTGATATCTGATGAATTATTCAGTTTCATTTCCATCATATAAAACTTGATAATTTCAACTATGTGGCAAGCCTTAAAATGCTCTTGCTTTAAATATTTTGCTTTTGAAATTGTACACAATTCTAAATGAAGTAAAACACAAAATTAGGATGGGGTTTAATGAGATAAAAGTCTCAGTGTCAGAATACTTACAAGAATAGTTGTGACAATATAGGTCCTGTTCTGCAGAGTTGTTGTTTCATTTGAACCTTGCTGATCTGTGATGGTTGGAACAAATTTTTCATCTTCGTTCCAATAACCAATCTAGAAATGATCAATAGAATATAGTACATCTTTGGCAAAACTCAATGTTCTATATCCTGAGATTCCATATTTGTGAGGAAACTTTACAGTAAACATTGTACAAAATAAATCCACTATCTTTCAAACACTGAAATTTATTTACATTTCAAAATTTGTGGCATTATTGATTTTGTCCAGACGTCTTGAAGATAAAAGAAAAGTGTAAGACATAAGTACTTTGTGCACGTATTTAGATGTATAACATTAGACTAATGAAAGCATATATGAATCTTTTATATTATTAATATTTTTTGAGATAGATCTGATATTCATATTTTTCACCTTCTCCTTTTTGCATATCAGCATGCACAAATTGTCTTTAAAATTTTACAATGACTCTGTAGCTTTTTAATTCAGAGAGTAGATGAGTTTTACTGGCAATAGGAAATCATCTGGGAATTAATCTATTGTTAATACCTGTATGAAAAGTACTGATTTGCATTTTTTTGACAAATGTTCAGTTATCACATTTCAATTTTCTGGATGTCAAGTCACAGTCCTTAAGTGATTAATACATTTACTTTTTTAAATATTTTGAGAGAAAATCTTATATTTAAATTCATATTAAATATTAAAATAATATAGACAGATGAATTTGGGGTTTACAGAATTAAAATATACCACAACACTAAATAGGACATAGTTATCAATTAAAAAAAGTAATAGAGATGGGCAAATCTTAAAATCCACTATGTTCTATTTTTTAGTTTTCATTCCAGAATCTTTTCCTAAGAATTAAAGATTAATCTGTAGAAATACCTACCAGAGTGAAGTTGGGTAGGGATTACTTAAAATGTTGATAGAGGCTCAGACATTTTTTTCAACTTTATTTAATGTTAAGAAAGACAGATTTGCTTATAAAAGCACCCTTCACAAAGTACGTTAATCTCTCATTGCAATAAAAAAATTTGATTTGATTTGACTCTTCACAAAGCGCCTTTTTCTCTCACCTAAATTTCCTGATACCTCATGATATGTGATTCCATGAGGTTTTAGAGAAGAAAAGAAACTACTCTGTGAATAATCTTCATATTATGCTTTCTAAAAGTTGAAGAGACCCCAAATTTACTTCTACAAAAATTCATGAAAAAAAAGGCTTCAAATCCTATACTACAAAATAAGTGTCAGAGATAAATCCATTTTATGCCTTATTTACACAAATGTTTTAGCTCATGATGAAAGTTGCACCAGGGAATCAATGTTTTCAGAAACAAGTTCCATTCCCAACCTAACCAGCTTTACCTTTCTGATCCCATCATGTTTCATTTCAATAACATGAAGGGTGTAATTAGTTCGATGTCCTTTCTCGTTAAACTGGACAGTCCCTGTCAGTCCTTCAAATCGCACCTATAAAAAGAGGAGGAACAGGTAAAAGATGACAACTGATACAAAATTCTTGTCCCAAATAGCTTTCCAAATTTCTTAAATCAGATCAAATGATATATGCATCAATACATATCAAGAGTTATCTTCAGATGTTTTCTTTTCAATTCATCTGCACTGAGGACATAAGCTCATTTGGGTGACAGTAATTTCAACTTTCCAGCTCAGACTTTTTGTCAAGGTTCCCAAACCCAGGAAAGACACACTGCGATTCTTCTAAGCAGACACCTTTATGGTTCCTCACCTATAGACAGAAATCTTGCCAAACTAAAGCAGACTACTTGCATCATATAACACATACACTCTAAGAACTATTAGGAGGAGCTCTCTTCACCCTCTTTCTCTCACACAAACTACCTAAACTGTTTTGTCTCTTGCTCCTCTGGAATGCACTCCCTCCTTTCTGGGAATCAAGACTGCATTCATTACACTGTTCCAGTTAACACAGTTGGGGATAAAGAACAAGCAAAGTACACTTGCTAACAGTTTGCCAAAAGGCTAAGATGATCTTATACTAAATGTGGGACTGCAAAAGACAATAGATGGAATTTAGCCTCTGGCTTGGAAAAGGTAATTAATGGAGAATTTTTCTCACATATCTGGACTTGATATTATCTTAGATTGTCTTACTAACAAAATCATCATCCTCATCATCTAAACTATAAAGAATTTATAAATTACACCTAGACCTGACTTTATAGTCATTTGTTTAGCAACTATTCAAAGTTACAATGGTGTTGAAAAAATTAATTTACAACCAATCCTTGCACTTAAGACCATCACCACATCCCAGAAATCACATGATCACTATTTGCAACTATTGCATATTTTTGATGGTTGCAGTGTTCTGTGATCACCATTTCTGATCCATCTGGCTTACGACAAACAAAGTAAACTGGGAAACTGGAAGGAAATACAAATTAAAGAACCTTTTTCCAACAGTGACCACAACATGATTGACTTTTGTCTCAACATACGTCCGCACAAAAATCATCACAACGACGGAATCCCCAATTATAACTTCAAAAAAAGGCAACTATGATCTTATAAATAACGATCTCTCATCCCTTGATTGGCAATTTCTATTCTCTGGATGCAATACTGTAGAAGACCATTACAACATATTTTTACTTGAAGTCAAAAGAGTCATCAAACTATATGTACCATTAACAACTCCCAAAACCAGAAAAAATAAATTACCCAAAACAATAAGGAAGCTTCAATCCAAAAAGAAATCACTTTGGCAGAAAAACAAATCTGGTCACGTTGCCAACTTCAAAAGCCGATACAAAATTTTATGCCACCAGATAAAAACTGAATGCATCAATTATCACATTAAACAAGAAGAAAACGTACGCACCAATTCCACTCGTGCTTTCTACAATTTTGTAAACAACAAACTAAAAGACTCAAGATACATCCCACCCCTGAAAGGACCTAATGGTAAAGACTGCAATGACGACACTATTAAAGCCAACCTCTTTAACACATTCTTTGGCTCAGTATTTGTAAACAGCAATGGATCATGCCCAGTATTTCCTAGTTGAACCACAGAAAACTACAATGATCGAATGCATGTCAATTTTACAGAATACAATGTTGAAAAAGCACTACACAATCTAAAACCATCTCTATCTATTGGACCGAATGGAATATGTGCCTACTTCTTAAAAAAGCTACCACTGCCATAGCTGAACCTCTAAGCATAATCTTTGAAAAATCTTTCAGGACCAGTTCCTTGCCAAAACTATGGTCACAAGCCACGGTCATCCCTATCTTCAAAAAGGGAGACCCCAGCCTAGTTGAAAATTACAGACCAATCTCTTTATGCTGTGTCACCTGTAAAGTCATGGAATCAATTATTAACCAATCCTCCACTTAGAGACAAACAACCTACTGTCTAATAAACAATTTGGTTTCAGGAAAAAACTATCATGTAATCTGCAACTCTTACACTGCAAAAACATATGGACTACACAACTCGATCAGGGCAAAGCAAAAGACATAGACTTCTGTAAAGCCTTTGATTCAGTGGTACATGACAAACTACTCCTAAAACTAAATCTTACGGTATCTCTGGACACCTGCATAACTGGATAGAAGCATTCCTGTCAAACAGACAACAAATGGTCAAAATTGGGAGCGTCCTATCAAATTCTGTCAACAGTGGTGTCCCCCAAGGCAGTGTTTTAGGACCAACTCTCTTCATACTCTACATACTCTTCATACTCTACATAAATGACCTCTGGATCATATTAAGAGCAACTGTGTTCTCTTCGCTGATGATGTAAAGCTATTCAACACCACAGACAATACTGCTACCCTTAAAAAGACCTTGACTATGTATCAGAATGGTCAAACAAATGGCAACTTCAAATCTCAACAAATAAATGCTCTATCCTACATATTGGCAAAAAAAAATCAGAAAATAAAATACAAGCTGAATAGTCAAGACCTTGTTGATTATCCAAGCTCTGTAAAGGACCTTGGAATACTCATCTCTAATGATCTAAGTGCTAGAGCCCACTGTAACTACATAGCCAAAAAGGCATTAAGAGTTGTTAACCTAATCCTATGTAGCTTTTTCTCTGGTAATATCACACTACTAACTAGAACATACAAAACATTTGCTAGACCAATACTCGAATACAGCTCATCAGTCTGGAACCCACATTACACATCTGATATTAGCACAGTTGAGAAAGTCCAGAAATATTTCACAAGAAGAGTTCTCCACTCCTCTACTCGTTGCAGAATACCTTATGCCGCCAGACTCGAAATTCTAGACCTAGAAAATTTAGAACTATGCCGCCTTCGGTCCGATCTAAGTATAGTATAAAAAATCATACATTGCAATGTCCTACCTGTCAATGAATACTTCAGCTTCAACCATAACAACACAACAGCAAACAATAGATACAAACTGAAGGTTAATAGCACTAAACCTGATTGCAGGAAATACAACTTCAGCAACAGAGTGGTCAATGTCTGGAATATTCTACCTGATTCTGTGGTTTCTTCTCCAAACCCCAAAAACTTTAACCTTAGACTTTCTACTATTGACCTCACCCCCTTCCTAAGAGGTCTGTAGAAGGCGTGCATAAGCGCACATTGGTGCGCTTCCTAAGAGGTCTGTAGAAGGCGTGCATAAGCGCACCAACGTGCCTACCATCCCTGTCCTATTGTTTCTTTTATATATTTTTATTTTTCTTATATGTATCCATGTATTCATAACTATGTTTTTACTTATACCTATTATCTTGTAAGCAATTGACAAAATAAAAATAAAAATAAATCAATCAATCACAAATCATAGACATGTGATATCTAACTTAGTTTTTGTGTGGGAACTGCTGTCGCTAAATGGGGCATTCATATAATGTTTTGATTAATAAATACTTTGCTTAGTTATGGAGTTGCCAGTCTCAATTAAGAAAAAAACTACTTTCAAATTAAAAACAACAAAACACAAGGAAAGACTGTGTTTGCAGTAGGCTGGAGGTGAGATGACAATGTCACCCATTCCTCCCTCCCTCCAGAAATTGTTGGTCCGCTGCCAAGAAGAGCAAACCTAACTATGCAGTTTTGCCCACAGACATTTCTTTTCTCACAACATTTTCAGAATTTGAACATTTTATCACTGAAATGTTAAGTGCCTCCAATAGGGTGACTTGTACATATTTTCTAAACTCCCACTTCTTTTAATACTAGTACTGAATGGATTGCATATATTGTATGCAATATAACTCTGTAACTCTGTTTCAGTGCAAAATCTTAATAGGATTTCTTTTCTTGTACAACAGAAAATAGTAAATTAAGGGACAAGGCAGTTGACTTAACTTATTTCTAACAAACCTAGCTTTTATCTACAAGAAGCATTCAAGCATGCTGCTCATCATCCATCTGATACAGTATAATCAAGAAAGAATTATGTAATGGTATTTCTGCATCTTTGACACAGCAAGCATCCACTTATAAAAATAAGAAAGCATAATGAATTATCTTACTGGAATCCCATTTTAGATTGCTGAAACATTTTAATTCAAGCTTGATAAGTTCAGGATCGAAACTTAGAAAGAAAATGCATTCCCCTCCTCCCAAATATTCACAGTCAGATTTTCTTTCCTAAATACGATGATCTTTCAAGACTACTTTAGAAATGCAATTTCAGTATAAATATTCAGTGATCATCCTTGTTTATAGTACAACAGGATACAGATTTACAACCCATGAAATAATGAATAATGAATAGCAATTCAGATATTGTAACAATGTTATAATCTGCCCAGGGTTAAAGTTTATCTTAATTTTCTAACCTGTTGTAGAGCTCTCTGGATGTCAATCCCTTGTCCCCAAGGAACAGCTGGATTTGCCAGGCAATCCCCAGCATTCCCACGACGGGAAATATCGATCCGTTGTTTTCTGAGACTCTGAAAAGCTTCGGCCATTACCCGAACCCCATCATATGTAAGAGCAGATGTGTACTAGAAAATAGATTAAAATAAGCATGTTGGCTATTAGGCTTGATTTGGGAAATGCTTGTTCCGTCTCCCAAAACAGGAACCAGGAAATCTTCTATTTCTTCAGCCACCCCAAACTGCTATTTGGTTAATATCAATGTCAACTTAATGTGTCACAAAAATAATTACGTTAAGTAATACTGGGTGCTTCAAAAATAAAGAGCAGCATTATTTTGTAGGTTTTTGAACTGAAGTTGTGATTGCTATTCATAGCCTTTATCCTAGAACTTGTAGGAACTTTTTCTTTTGCATGGCTTGCTGCAGTTCTCAAAGTAAAGCTGTCACTGCACAGAGGCAAGAAGGAGTTTTAATTTTCAACCAGCTTATCACAGAAGCCTGACACTGATTTGGGCTGAGAGGGAATGCCTGGCCCAAGGCAATCTAGCTGACTTCTATGTCTAGAAGATTAGAGCCTCCCAGCTCAAAATCCAGCACCTTACCCACTATATCATATTGTTTCTTGGGATCTGAGCTAAAATACCAATTTGGCTGGAATTGACAAGCCATGAGAAGCCACATAGAATTTTGCTAGATGTAGCCAAATGATGACTTGCATGCTGTTCTGTAGCTACATTTTTATGCTTAATAATATTGATGGCAATTATAATTTCCTGGGAAAAGCTGCAGCTGCTTTAAGTAGTTTGCACTACTGTACACTCCAAAGCACAACCTACTTATTATGCTAATTTTGCTTTCAGCCATGTTTTAATTAATCTGTTCTACCTTGAGAGTCATTTTTGTTTGATGAAAATGTATGATATCCAGAATAATTATGGCAACTTGATTTCAGTGGGTCTAATTAAAGTGGGTACAGGATAAGTCTGGATCCAGTGCATTATAATATTTGTAGGACTAGCTGCTGCAGGCTTTAGAAAATTATACATAGGAAGTTAAAGCCTTGGACTCTGTCTTTAACAGTGTTCAAGATTTGCATCATGACAAAGTGAGTTGCTGGGTGTGCAGGTTATCTTAAAAAACAAAAAACAAAAACAGTTTGCCTTAATATGAAAGATTCAAAAATCCCCCACTCTCCCTCTCCCTCTTTCCCTACTATATTCAGTCTACTATACAACTTACCAATCTTTAAAATATTCTCCCAGTAAGGTGAGAAAAAGAACTTAGTTTTTTCACAATGAAGGATCTATGAGAAGGTAAGCAACAGAGTATGTATCTTTCTATCACATCTACACAAAGTTCGGAGGATGCACTCTGTTTTAAAAATTATTTGTTCAAAAGATTCCACAGCACCATATATTTATTCAATTCAGTGCAAAGCAATAATTCAGCACCCCATTAATTAAATAATTTGCTATAGAGTCCCCCAGACAGAAGAACAAGGCATTAAATTTCCTTTAGTTATCCCAATGCTAATTAATACATGGAAGTTACTTCAAGACTGAAATCCTACTTACACGCAATATTGCTTCCGAACAACCCAAAAGAACTAGGATATATTCCCTCTCTGAGCACTAACACTGAATGTTAGAGAAACAGTTGCAGATAATGTTTCGTTAATTTCCCATAGATGTCTCGCACTTTGACTGTCAGAATTTTCCAAGGGTATGATATTCCCAACAGTATATGGGCATTCTGTCTGGAAATTCTGTAAGTTAAGCACATCTGGAGAAACTAAGCGGGGATAGTTATGGACATGCTAGTGTTCATGCAGTTATTAAAGGGGAACTCATTGCTGTGTCCTTTTGCATTTTGCTTGTTCTTGCCTTTGGTGAGAGGGGCAGCACATACAGTAAGTTTAATAACAGATTATTTATTGATTTCATTTGTATACATTTTGAGGTCCTACAGATTGAAATACGTATTCTACATCATTTTACTTAGACATAATATAAACACAAATATGATAAATTTATATTATAATATAATATGAATAATTATATTAATAGATAGTGACAAGTTCCTTGGGTGAAATGAAAAAACATATGGAACACCACTTGAACACTACACCAATCAATTGCAAAAGGCAGCTTTACTTGGAACAGCTTACATCTTGTGACTATAATTTCAACACTGTCAAACATTAACATCTGCCTATCACAGGTCCTTGGAAAGGACTCGATGGGTGGATAAAAATATCAAATCCAGTCAACAACAATGACAACAATAATAAGTAATAATAATTTTTAAAAACCTGGCTGAATGTATAACTAACCGTTGGTTGTGTATGTATATGCCTATGTATATTATTATCTGCCTAAGTGAGTCCACTCTAGGGTAACAGCATCTCCACGGAAGTTTAGAAACCATAATCTACAATGTTGGTCCAGAACCAGTTGGGAAATAGAGTTTTTTTTATTTCCCAGTTTAACTCCAAGAGACAGTGACTAGCCCAACATCACCCACTGGTTTCTGTTTCTAAGGAAGGACCTGCTTAAACCTGCTCCTAGTTAAATCTTACTTAAACCTTACTACCACATTACCATACCAATTCATGTGTGTGTATGGGTATTTGTGTGTTTCAAAAGGAGAATTCTTCATTTTGAAAGTCCCCTCTTGTTTAGCAAAAGAAAACAGCATTTTCTATAATTTAACTTCACTGAAATCAATTCCGCTGTAATTTGCTATGGAAAAAGAAAGCCCTAAACCCTTAGTCTGACACAAGGAACAAGAAATGGCATTAACACCTCCTCAAACAAATGGTTTTCAGTACCACTTGCCTTTGGCCTCTTCCAGTCCACCCGAGGTTGTTCCCTGGCATCATTGTTCTTCCACTGTTGCATGATCCTGGCTGGGATGGTGTCTGTGTAATTCACCAACTGGAATCCGGTCACATTTGCTCCACTTTCTTTGAATTTCCCCAGGTCAATATCCATAAAGCCCTAAGGAGGACAAAAAAAAAAAGCAACAGCAATAACAAAAGTGATGAACGAATGCATATTAACAGAAGCAGTAAACTTTTATAACACAATTTTTACCAATACTGATGAAAAATGCAATAATCCAAATATCCCAGACCAAAAGTTGTTCTACACCTCAAGTACTATGAAAAATTCTTTGATCATTAATAATTTTTACAATGTTTTTTTCAGAGAACTATAGTGGAATTTAAAAATAATTTAACACATTTTAAATACATAACTTTCCAAAGGAGTTTTCAAATAATTGCAGACTAATAAAGAAAAGGGTGAGAAGCAAATAAGAGAATGAGAGCTATGAAAATGACATGGATGAGGAAAATGCCTATTTCTCTAATTATAAATATAAGTCGAAATATAAAAAAAAAATCCATTGTTCTTTGTGCAAGCAAAAATAATGTGATTTGCCCAAACAGAATCTTCTACAATATAGTTGCCAGGGCTCCAACAAATCCACCCTCATTCAGATCAAAAGTCTGTAGCCACATCTCAGAGAAAAGTTAATTGATTTATTAGGAGTGGCCATGTTGGCGTTAGCTGGATGCAGCTGATACTAAATTACATTATACATTTCCCCCTTGACCCTGGTCTTCCTCTCACCCCCTGGATGTGACTTCTCCAATGGGACACATCCATCTCCAAGAGTCATCCATCGTGCTCTCCAATAGCCTTCTTATGCTCCGACAACTTTGAGCTACCAGGGGTGATTATCTAGGCATTTAAGGAATGCCTTATTTTCCCCCACTCCCCTTTTCTGGCAGCTAAAAAGACCAAAGGAGTATCTTTTTAGTTGACAATAGTATAACTTTCCTAGATATTTGGGGAAAAAAATAAATTAAGAAAAATACTCACCAAGGTGTATAAGGGAGGATATATAAATTGGGATAGTTACATAAGCAATTACAACATGGGAGAGCAGGTCAATTTTGCTTCACGTCTCACCAGCTTTTGATACTATCAACCATGGTATTCTTCTGGAGTAACTTCAGGGATTGGGAGTGGGGAGCTTTGTGCTATCCTGATTCACTTCCTTTCTTGTGGCTGCTCTCAGTTGGTGTTAATACCGTAGGAGACAAGAGATGCCACTGCTTTGCATAGTCCCGCAGGGCTTGTTAGTCTCTGCTCCTATTCAACATTTAAATGAAGCCATTGGTTGAGATCAACCATCACCATGGGCTAAGACATCATCAATATGCTGATGATACTCAGCTGTATATCTCAGTCTATGGTGAGTAAAGTGATACTGTGACCTCCCTCTCGCAGTGCCTGGAACAATGGGATGAAACTGAACGCTGACAAGGCCGAGTGGTTCTGGGTCTGGGGTTCTTTGGTCCATGGAAAATTGCCACCTTTGGTCTTGGATGTGGTGTCACTGTCCCAAACAGTACCAAAGTGTAATCTGGGGGTTCTCCTGGACTTGTGACTTCTGTGAAAAGTAGTCGTGGCCAGGAAGGTATTTGCTGAATTGTGGGTTGTGCACCAGTTATGCCCTTTCCTGGACCAACAATTCTACTCACAGTCGCTCATGCCCTTATCACCTCCCATCATGACTATTGCAATGTGCTGTACCTGGGGCTATCCTTGAAAAGCATCCAGAAGCTCCAGTTAGTGCAAAATGCAGTTGCATACGTGGTTTTGTGCAGACCTCAGTATCCTTTCCTGCAGGAGCTGCATTGGTTGCTGATTTGCTTCTGGATGCAATTCAAGGTGCTGGTTGTCACCTTTAAAGCCCTTTATGGCTTGGGACCAGGTTATCTAAGGGACCATTTCTTGCTGGTCACATCCACCTGACCCACTAGAACAGGGAAGCAAGGAACGCTGTGAGTCCCCATCCACTAAGGAGGTATATCTTGCAGGACCCAGAAGAAGGGCCTTCTCCATGGTGGCTCCCTCCCTTTAGAGCATCATCCCTCTGGAAAATAAAGTGGCCTCCATTCTGATACTCTTTTGGAAGGCTGTGAAGATGTGGTTCTGCCAGTTGGCCTGGGGAATCCAGTGTGGGATGCAGCCCATTAATTGGATGATATGAGTGGGTGTAGCTACTGGGGTGGGGTGGAAGGGGTTAGGGATTATTTTACTATTTTAATTTTTTTTATCATTTTTATTTCATTTATATTGTGTTTTTATTTCCTGTAAGCTGCCTTGAGTCATCATGAGCGACTAGACGGCAATATAAAATTTCCAAACAAACAAACAAACAAATAAAAAATATTAAATAGATTTAAATTTGATTTAGGCCAATCTGCATATCACTAATTCTAAAGCCAGTGCTTTGGGTTTTTCAACTTTTGAAGTGATGCAGTGGAACAAAACTGGTTGTGGAGAAGTAGGAATAATAGAGCAAATGAGACATGGCTCACTGTGTAGAGGCATCTGTTCGATATAGTACATTTTTATCCTGCCACATTCCACAAGGATTTGAGTGTATTCCAAGTGTAAAAGCCAATGGAGCCAAGACAGAGTGACAACAGCAGTTTTCATCCCTGAGGAGTAGCAAGCCTGGTTTTAGTAATTAGCTTCAGAAGTAAATTGGCAAGAGGAGAGAAGAGGGAACCAGGCATTTAGACCCAAAGATATTCACATTTCTGATGATTCATGAGCTAATGGAGCTGCGCGCAGTTTTGGGACACTCTGAATTATTTATATTGTTTTGAACAGAACTCAAATCCAATCTATCCTATCCTTCAACCAGGGTAGAGTTGAATATGTTTCAAGCCTTTACTGCCAAAGAAAAAGTAAAAAGTGAAATGGTGACTTGAATTTCAACATGAGAAGGAAAACAGGCCCATTAGTCAGAACACATTTTCCTTACAGCTGCTTGAATAATGAAAAAAAAGTATTGCTGGGAATTATTCAATAGACAATCTACTGTTCCAAAGGAATATTACACAGGAATATGCATCTGAACTAAACTCTTATGCCCTCAGTCAACTGATAAAAATGGACATATTTCTTCAAGTTATAGATCATGAAACAAAATTTTTATAAAATCATATGTGGCACAATATGTGTGTATGGGAGTGGTGTGGAAATGACCTTGGGAGACAAGAGAAAGAGCTGCAGACTGGAAAATCATCATGTAAAAGATATCTCAGTCCACAGAAAGAGAAAAGGCATGGAAACATTCCCTAGTTAAGGGCCACAGAAAAACACCCCACTGCTTCCCAAAACTTGTGGTCCATATAGAACTGGAACTATTGCAACACTGAGCTTTTAGCTCCCCTCCTAGAATACTGCTTTGTTTGTGCAATTTTATTTTTCTTTTTGGGGGAGGTGGGGGATAGATTATAATAGATTCAGAGTTCGATAGATAATTGTCCTAGAATGAAAAAATAATGTTGGAAGGAAGGAACCTCAGATGGCACCACAAGCTACATTGCTATAGAGCCATGATAAAAGCCATTCATGACATCATTCAATTGGAAAGGCTGCAGAGTTTATTTATTTATTGGGTTTGTCAACTCCTTACAAGATAATAGGTAATAAGTAAAAACATAGTTATGAATACATGGATACATATAAGAAAAATAAAAATAAATAAAAGAAAGAATAGGACAGGGATGGTAGGCACGTTGGTGCACTTATGCATGCCCTCTACAAACCTCTTAGGAAATGGTGAGGTCAATAGTAGAAAGTCTAAGGTTAATGTTTTTGGGGTTTGGGGAAGAAACCACAGAGTCAGGTAGAGTATTCCAGACATTGACTACTCTGTTGCTGAAGTCGTATTTCCTGCAATCAAGTTTGGTGCAATTAACCTTGAGTTTATATCTATTGTTTGCTCTTGTATTGTTATAGTTGAAGCTGAAGTATTCATTCACAGGTAGGACATTGCAACGTATGATTTTATATACTATACTTAGATTGGACTGAAGGCGGCGTAGTTCTAGATTTTCTAGGTCTAGAATTTCGAGTCTGGTGGCATAAGGTATTCTGCAACGAGTAGAGGAGTGGAGAACTCTTCTTGTGAAATATTTCTGGACTTTCTCAACTGTGTTAATATCATATACGTAATGTGGGTTCCAGACTGATGAACTGTATTTGAGTGTTGGTCTAGCAAATGTTTTGTATGCTCTAGTTAGTAGTGTAATATTCCCAGAGAAAAAGCTATGTAAGATTAGGTTAACAACTCTTAATGCCTTTTTGGCTATGTAGTTACAGTGAGCTCTAGCACTTAGATCATTAGAGACAAGTACTCCAAGGTCCTTGACAGAGTTTGGATCATCAACAAGGTCTTGACTATTCAGCGTGTATTTTATTTTCTGATTTTTTTTGCCAATATGTAGAACAGAGCATTTATTTGTTGAGATTTGAAGTTGCCATTTGTTTGACCATTCTGATACATAGTCAAGGTCTTTTTGAAGGGTAGCAGTAATGTCTGTGGTGTTGAATAGCTTTACATCATCAGCGAAGAGAACACAGTTGCTCTTATTATGATCACAGAGGTCATTTATATAGAGTATGAAAAGAGTTGGTCCTAGAACACTGCCTTGGGGGACACCACTGTTGACAGTATTTTATTTTCTGTATTTTATTTTCTTAAAATCTGGCAACTTTAAGATCTGTAGACTTCAATTCCCAGAATTCCCAAGTACCCAATAGATGTGTTTTACCTTTCAATTTATAGTTAATCTAGATTTGATATTAGAGTGTGTTTTTGCTTTTAGAATGCAGCATCCATTGGGAGAATAAGGCGTTTAGAGAACAGCCTTGAGGAAGTAAATAGATAGCAGATAATAATAAATAGGTGAGAAATCTAAAGTTGCTCCTTTTCCTGCTGTGGTGTTGAAGACAATCACTTCTCAAAGGTATCATTAGGATAAAATGCCCGTCAGCACCAATGAGGTTTCAGAGGAGGAATAAATGTGTTAATGGTGCTCCAGTTTTCATCTCAACCCCTTTTGCAACAATGTGAATGGTTAAAGGCATTCATTTAAAGTCATGTCTAGTTTAGCCCTAAGCTATGT